GATAAGGTACCCAGCCTTATCCATATACTATAGACCCTTTAGGTTATTCACGGGACATTATCCACTTGTATATCAGGGTATATCAAATATATACCTCGTATATCAGGGGTATATCAAATATATACCGAGTACATATATTGTCCCGGTTACACTAAAATAACCTCGGATGTTTAGTTTATTGGATTTTGGACAATGCATTGCTATGAATTCAACAACAAATTTATTGAATAAAACTTTATTAAATATACATTTGTTTTTACACAAAATACAAACTACGAGTTTATGGCAACACACCCAACACAGAGTTCTCTTTGCAACAACACTGGAACCTTCAAGATTTTCGGTACTTATGATGATGCTAAAAAAAAAAGAAGATAAAGTAAGGTTGAGGCTAGATGACTCTGATACCAAGTTTGTTTTTAAAGTAACACAAATGTTATGAAATTTCTAAGTGAAAGTACTAAGATTTGTAGTGGTATTTATACGTACAAGCTTGTAGGTTGTTACAACTTGAAGACCTTAAAATAGTTGATCCAAAAATAGAAGAAGAGTAAGAGCTAAATATAATAAGCAAAACTAAATTACATGGAAGAAGTTACAAGACCAAATCAAAAGAGGACTAAATACTTGTTTCAATACATTTTAACTAAACATCATCGTTTGACATATTCTCTTCAATAAGGCTTCGAAACCATTTTATTTAATTTATAGTGAGGAATGGGGGTCTTCCAAAATTTCAAGTTATAGTGTAAAACATTAGTTTATAACTTTCATTGATGACAACAGGCATTTTATCTTGGATTTATTTAATGACAAAAAAATATAAGGTGAAAGACCTTTTTGTCCGTTTTTAACATATGATTCAAACTCAACTTCAAACAAAAATGAGTATTTTCCACTATGATCATGAGACTCAATATTTTAATGATTGTTTTGGAAAATTTTTGAAAGATAAGGCTTTTTTTTATCAATCTACCATCGTGACACTCTCCAACAAAATGGTAATGTAGAACGAAAAAATAGACACTTACTTGAAGTCTCTCGTGCCATTATGTTTTCAATGCATCTATTCACAATATTTGTGTGGAGAAGCAATTCTCACGGGTGCAAATCTAATAAATCTGATGCCTTCTAAAGTTTTGAACTTTAAAACTCCCATCAATTATCTAATAGAATATTTTCCCATAGTTCGTCTTTTCTGACCTATCGAAAAAAGTTTTTGGGTACAAACTTGATCACCAGGAAAATTATTGAAATAAGAGTTTCATTAAAAAAAGAAAACCACCTTCAAGGAACCACGGATGCGAATCATCATCATAACTTATCATGGCTGCATATGTTTCATATAATTTATCTAATTTTTGGTATTTTTGTGAAATTGTAGGGCTTTTGGGACCAACAATTTCTCTGGTCGCTTACCATCAGAGCTTGGCAATCTTTTTATGTTGGAGGAACTGTAAGCTTCATAATTTACTTTAAATTAATTTTGAGAGGAATAATTATTTTTACTTATTCGACACAAATATAAAAACAAAGTCAACTTATGTAGGGTGAGACCCATTACAAAATAAGAAAACATTCAAGTCTAATAATCACAGTTGATGATAAATATTTACAAAAAAACATAAAACCAAAAATCTCCCAAGTTTGGATGGTCCACTGCCTTGCCAACCAATCCTCCATTCCTCCTTGAAGTTACCCTTACTGGCCACCCCTTTAGAAAGGAAAAGAAAATTCTTTGGCAGAACTTCATTCGAGCTTTCTTCTGGATCATATGGAGAGAAAGAAACCAAACTTAGGAAAACTGCGTGTTGCCGAGCTTGGAAAACCAAACTAATTCTAGGGTCAACAACCGCATGATGGAAAAATCTTCCTTAGAACAAAGAGTGAAGACCAAACTCCAAAAAGAACCAAGTAGAAGTTAGGACACAAGAACAGACCGTAGCCGAAATGCTAATATGGAGAAAACACCCAATACTAAGCCTCAATTCTGTCTTCAAAAAGTCTCCAAATATAAACCACTAAATGTCAAATCAAACGCCGGAGAAAAACTTTGAATACCTCATCAACCAACCAACCGAACTGAAACTGCAAAGCTTTGAAATCTTCAGAAGGCATAATTTAGAACATTCCAACATTCTGAACAACTTAAAACTCAAAGAACAGACTCAATTGGGACAAGAGTAATCCCCATTTCTTCAAAAAAGGAAGGAATGGTTGTTTGCTGTGGGAAAACGAGTTTCTCATCTTCTTCTTACTCGTTAAATAAAGATTGAAAATCGTTTGCAAAGAAATGCTCAGAAAAGTCCTCAGTTGGGATGTCTGACTTTGGAGAAGAGTCTAAACTACTAATATTGATTGCACCATCCTCATCTTCAAGATCATTATCCGAGAATTCTAAGGAAGATGATTTAAGAGGCAAACCTTCGTTAGTGGAGTGGATAGTGCCAATGGACAGAATATTTACCTTATTTGTACTTACTATCTTTACTAACTACTCCTCATTCCTCAAAGAAAGCCTTATTCAGGTTAACTTGAACCCATTTAGCTTTCGAGGGCTTTGCAAGCTCCTTTCCAAATTAGTATTAGGCTTTCTACGAGAGTAGTAAAAGGGAAGGGGTAGAATTAATCGTTTAGTATTCTTCATACCCGGTGGAAACGGGTTGCCTTTTGACTTTTGGTTCAAAATAGCTTTTGCATTTAGCAATTGAAAAACAGTAGGGCCAATAATGCCCACTTCTTGATTAATGCCCACTTCTTTTCTGACCATAGGCGTGCTCAATTGACTCGACACATTTTTTGGCTAACTGGTGCATTTGGAGTCGATGAGGGGACAGTTGCAATTTACTTTTCCAAGCTAACCTTATTTGAAACGTTGCCAAATTGAAACTTTTCGTCTGCCAAGACTTCTTGCAATCTTTGGATATCCAAAGGATTTGAAGAATCTGCAATCAACGAAGTCTTTGAAAGCTGAACGGAGGGAAAAGACGGCTTGGTAGCTTCATTTATGGCAACCACGTTTACCACAAACAATCCACGTTTTGTAGTTATCTCGATAGAAGTCGAAATAAAGCCACAATCATTCTTCTCTATTTGAATGAAAGTTGCTGAACAATCTAACAGATTTAGTGTTGCTGAAGAGATTTTCTTCAAACCTCCAAGATGGGTTCCAATGGCCTTGAAGCAATTTGTGTTCCAAAGCTCTAAAGGTAAGTCGCAGATTTTCACGCAGCCACCAAAACAAACTGTCATTTCGTTTTTGCCATGTTTTTCAAGATTTCACTTCTCCATCTTCACGTGAAAACTATCTAACTTGCGCCATTTACCATTGAGCCAATTAGAGTTCAAGGGTCTTCCACTTTTGAATCTAAATAAAGCCTTACCTGCTAAGAAAGGGTTGACTTGGCAATTTTCTGGGAAGAAACTTTTGAGGGAGGCAGCGATTGCCTTCCAGCTATCCTGAGCATAAAACCTTAAAATAACCATGGCATTATATTATCCCAATCTATTTCCACAACTTCATATTCCTTTTGAACCCAATAAGAGTTGCTCCATTTTTTTTTTTCGAAAATCTCATCCTCTGCGGTAGGGGATGCCATCATACTATCTCTGTTCTTAGCCCTCTCTGCAAATGAAAAGTTCGAGGCGCCCTACAACATCTTTTCTTTGAAATTCACCAATGAGTCTTTTATCATGTCCAAACAGGTTATCCAACCGGTCTTTCTAAACCGTGCAGGTACAATTATGAATTTTCTTCCACCCAAAGAGGGTCAAACAATGCATTCCAAAAGCAGCCTTTCAAGAGTCTCTTTTTCTGGAGTCGACAAGTTCTGTCCCGTCCCTAACTTGCACGGAAAATTTTGAGTACAAAGGAAAATGCGGAAGTTCCACCAAAGCCTTTTCTAACCACTGAAGGTGGGACAGTTGAAGAGAAATCTGAACATTCTTCCTAGAGTCTTTTATGAGAAACCGGTCATTGTCACATCCAACCAATAATAATTGTCTTGAATGCTGCAACTTCTCCAATCCATTTGAAAGCAGCCAACCCCTTCGCTTACCTTCAAAGATTCTTTGGTTTCTTTCAAACAAAATTTCGGAAAGTATAGTTTTAACTGCATTTGCCCATAATAATCAAGCTGTTGGTGGGAGAAAAGGTCCAAATAGAAGTTGCATGGAATTTTCTTTTATCGAACCTGAGAAACTCATGATAAACGATGGTTGGAGATGCCAGGGTTAGCTTCTTTTGAAGAATATCTGCGGTGTTTAAATTTCCGAAAAGGAGAATCCAAGAAAGCACATTTATCTTCTTTTGAAGGATACCCATGGTTTAGAGGTGAGGATGGCAAAACAATCACTCATCCACAATATCGTCCAACACAAACCTTAACTTCAACAATTTACCCTTATCGCATTCGTCAACCTCCACCACTTTTCCTCCATCTTTCTTACTAAACACAAACCTCTTCCTCTCTATCCTCATTGAGAACTATCCCCCAACTCTCATGACTCTCCAAATTCCCGACAAATAAAATCCTTCTCTGATTTTTCTTTAGATATTTCTATGAACTAGGAGATTTGTCTTACTCCCCCTGCTTTTTGATTTGGGTATTTGTTTTTTTTTTTTTTTATTTTTTGATTTTTTCCTTCCTTTTGGGACTGGATCTTTGAACTTTTATTTCTTTTTATTGATTAATGAAAAGTCTAGTTTCTTGTTAAAAAACGTTTAATTTTTAATTTATTGAAGTTTTATTCTTTGACCATTCCTTGAGTTGTTAAACTTATTAGTTGTGTTAACCTACTTATATTCTTAGCTTGTTCTGATCATTCGTATTGAATTATATTGCTGATAATTTTTTGATTATGTTTGTCTTACTCTGATAGGTTCTTTGATAGCTCTGGAGTCCAAGGTGACATTCCTACAACATTTTCAAATCTAATGAATTTGCAGACAGTGTAAGAGAATTGTTCAGCTTCAGTCTATTCATAACAGTTAGAAAGTAAAAGAAATTTGTAAATCCTAAGTATGCATCATTGAGATACAATGTTCTGTATTTTGGACAGATGGGCATCAGACAATGAACTCACCGGCAAAATACCTGAATTCATTGGGAGCTGGTCAAAGCTCACGAATTTGTAATACAATACTTTCACATGCTTGTTCCCATCTCCCACTTTTTCCAAACTGTTAAAAACTAGAGAATTAGAGATAATCTGAATTTCTCTTGTTCAATGGAGGAGTAAAACCCTAATTATAATCGGTGTGGCTAATTACACTATATTAGGTTTAGCAGAAACAGAAGAGCAATAATGATGGAATAGAAAGCAGATATACTCTATATGTAGAAACTTAATTTGGTGTAAACCTTTCAGTAAGGCCAGCAAAGTTACCTTTTCCTACTCAAGGCGTCTTCTGCCATTTGGATGGAATACAAATAATACAAATATTTGTATTCCAGTTCATTGAAAAGTAAGAAATACATCACATTCTTATAGATGAGAAAAGTCCAATACAAGAAATGAAATAACAATAAGAATACGAATAAAATAAACTATAAATGTTTACCAATAATTTAAATGTTTTCGGCTAATATTTACAAATAATAAACCAACACTCCTTGTCAAGTAGGTTTAGAGAGATCTTCTGTGAGGTAATCCCTCAAAGTTCTTCTTGGAGTTTACTAAAATGAGCCCGTAGGCGTTACAAAATCACCCCACCAATTTGAGAGGGTCGGTAACTATCTCTACTACCTTCTTTACATTGAAATCAAGACTAGTCTTCTCCTACTAACTAAGAAAATATATCTACCCAATCCCCATTCTCCTTTCGTTACAGCCCAAGCCCACTTTCTCCTCTCCAAACCGTTACAATCATTCCCTCTGATTTTCCCCTCCCCAAGTACAATTCCTTCTAGAATAAGTCTTAGTAATTGGGGGGTCTAACTCCCCCCGATCCATTTTGTCCCCAAGGCGGAAGTCAGGGAATTGTTGCACTAGATCATTCATAGACTCCCAAGTAGCTTCCTCAGTTGGAAGTCATTTCTAACTAACAAGAGCTTCGACTCCTCCAGTGACTAGCGAAGTTCCAGTCTCTTGTACTTCTTCCTGTGTTGTCAGCGCTCGAAGTTCCACCAGATAGCCTTGATCAGAGGACTCCCAGGCACGAGCCATCCGTTTTAGAGGCATCTCCAATGGTGTGAGAGTCGGATCCTCCTTCAAGATAATTCGCTTGTCTCCTCGCGTAAAGGTCATAGTCAGAGCAGGGGCCAGTCTGTCTCCAACTTCCCCATAGCCTGCAATCATTTACTTAGTTTTGATGGAATCAAATTATTTGTATTCCAATATATTAATCATAAGAAATACATGGCCTTCTTATATAGAAGATAGACTCAAACATAAATGGAAATAAAGATAAAATAATAATTAATATTGACAACTAATTTATAGCTAATATTTACAAATAATAAACCAACACTCCCCTTCAAGCTGGTTGAAAGATATCTTCCATTGCCAGCTTGTCAACCATCTTGTCAAATTGTACTTTCGGTAGTCCTTTTGTCAACACATCGGCAGTCTGCTCCATTGTTGGGAGGTAAGGGATACATATCACGCCGGTATCAACTTTTTCTTTTATGAAATGTTTGTCAATTTCAATATGCTTAGTCCTATCACGTTGAACTGGATTGTGGGCTATGGAGATGGCAGCCTTGTTGTCGCAATAAACTTTTATGGGTGCTTTTTGAAATACTCTCAATTCTTCAAGTAACCTTTTTATCCACGTCCCTTCATAAATACCATGGGCCAGGGCCCTAAATTCTGCTTCAGCACTGCTTCTAGCCACTACATTTTGTTTCTTACTTCACCAAGTTACTAAGTTACCTCCAACAAATGAACAATAACTAGAAGTAGATCTTCTATCTGTCATACTTCCTGCCCAATCAGCATCGGTATAAACTTCAACCTGCAAATGGTTGTGTTTTTTAAACAATATACCTTTTCCTGGAGTTCCTTTCAGATATCTTAAAATTCTATAGGCAGCTTCAAAGTGAACTGATCCTGGTGAGTGCATAAATTGACTTACCATGCTTACTGCAAAGGTAATATCTGGACGTGTGTGAGACAAGTAGATGAGTCTTCCCACAAGACTTTGATATCGTTCCTTATCCTTTACTTCTTCTTCTCTTGCAGCTTCCGGTTTCAAATTAGGTTCAATAGGGGTCTCATCTACCTTACATCCAAGCAAACCTGTTTCTCTAAGTAAATCAAGAATATATTTTCTTTGGTTAACAAAGATACCTTTCTTAGATCTTGCAAACTCCATTCTTAGGAAGTACTTTAACGTTCCTAGGTTCTTGATTTGAAATTCGCTTGCGAGTCTTTTCTTTAAAGTAGCCAGTTCTACTTCATCATCACTTGTAAGCACAATGTCATCTACATAGACAATCAAAATTGCAGTTTTATTGCTTTCAGAACGTTTGTAAAAGATGGTATGATCAGCTTGACTCTAAAGGAATCCATAGCTCATGACTACTTTTCCAAATCGTTCAAACCATGCTCTCGGAGATTGTTTGAGTCCATACAGATATTTCTTTAACCGACATACTTTATCCTTTCCAAGATTAGCTTCAAAACCTGGTGGTAAACTCATAAATACTTCTTCTTCAAGATCTCCATTCAGAAAAGCATTTTTTACATCGAGTTGATGAAGAGGCCAATCTAAATTTGCAGCTAGAGATAAAAGTATCCTAATGGAGTTGATTTTAGCAACAGGAGCAAAAGTTTCCTGATAATCAATCCCATAGGTTTGAGTAAATCCCTTAACAACTAGTCTAGCTTTATACCTTTCAACACTACCATCATCATTACACTTGATTGTAAAAACCCAAAGCATAATTTGTTCTTTAACAGAGAGAGAACTATTACTACTAAAGCACTGAGTTATTTTATTACTACCAGAAGGCTCATCAAAGTAGTAGAAGCCATCCAGCATCCT